GCCAAATGTGAGAGTCTACTGTTGGGTTTACAGAAAACATCTATTTTCTGGTTAAAAATCGTCACTTTATCTTAAACATCTCCGCTGCCTCTTCTCTCACCTCACCAGGACTAACATCTGAATCTCCCTTCAACCACTTACAAAAATACAGTTTTTACCAATTGACGAGCAGTACTCCTTATGTGTAGAGAGTTCCTGCGAGGTGGGGACATCGGGTATTTGGCTAGACCCACTTATGATGAGGGATCTGCTTTTCACAGATCTTCCTGGTGACCTATGCAATGTAGAGTTGTGCCCAAGCAAATATTAAAAAGAAGCCACTACATGCCATGGACATTTCAGTCACACTTGTGACTAGCGGAAATGTCAAATATTAAACCTATGTATGCCAAAGATCTACTGTAAACCAAATGGTACAAAAGTCACTGTGTGAATTTCAAACTCATGGTGATACCACACTATCACCGGGTAAACATGTTCTCATTCCAAAGCAGAAAGCTTGCCTTCATAATTCAGAGCACACAGAAGCCTATAAAACAGATGCCAGGGAGAGTGGTGCATGCCTGTAATTCCAGCTACGTGGGAGTCTGAGGTAGGAGGATCCCCTGAGCCTCAGGGGATGGAGTCTGGCAGATTTTGTAAGTGGTTGAAGGGAGATTCAGATGCTAGTCCTGGTGAGGTGAGAGAAGAGGCAGCGGAGATGTTTAAGATAAAGTGACGATTTTTAACCAGAAAATAGATGTTTTCTGTAAACTCAACAGTAGATTCTCACATTTGGCTGGGCATCACAGCAAGACTCCATCTCTTAAAGAAACCCCCAAAAAATGCAGCTAATATTATTTCAAATTCTACAAGTATTTTCTTTGAATTAAATTAGGAGCTTGTAAGAAAAACTAAAATGGAAAAGGAAATGATAGTCATAAGATTACTTAAGAGGTATGAAACAAAAAGATAATGAGCTGCTACAAAAAAGACTCATTTCAGTAAAATCAGAATCTGTAATTTAAAAAAAATTTTTTTTTTTCCTTTTTGAAACACTCTCTCACTCTGTCCCCCAGGCTGGAGTTCTGTGGTGCAATCTTGGCTCACTGCAACCTCTGCCTCCCAGGTTCGAGCCATTCTCCTGCCTCAGACTCCTGAGTAGCTGGGACTGCAGGCGCGCACCACTACACTTGGCTAATTTTTGTATTTTTAGTAAAGATGGGGTTTCACCATGTTGGCCAGGCTGGTGTCAAACTCCTGACCTCAAGTGATCCACCCGCCTTGGCCTCCCAAATGCTGGGATTATAGGTGTGAGCCACCGCACCCGGCCTGTATCTTTAGATATGCATAGGATAGACGTGCAACCAACCACTTGGCATGCACTTTTCTTACAGAAGAAACTAATTGTCACTGAACATCTCTACTATGTTCTAGAGACTCACTACACTAGAAAGGTTCACACTAAATTACAATTTAAGTCATAACAAAAATAAGATGATGTCTGAAAAAACTGAAAAGTCCTAGAGGATGCTGACGGAATAAAACCAAGAATATAAATTAATTTACATATACCTACTTTCAATAGGTGGCTTTGGTCCGCTGACTAAAGCTTCTGTAATCTGAGAGGCAACTGAGCTGTCAAATCCAGAATTAGAAGAATCCGGGTCTGGGTCACTGAGAATACTGGGGAAGCTCGCTTTGCTTTGTGTTGGCAGTTCAGATTGGCGTTCTGGAAAAGGTTAAAATAGGAGATGTTTTAAAATTATGGACATCATGAGGAGAGTGAAAAGCTACCGACTGAGGTAAGCTATCTGTAACACAGAAAAACAAAGAGCCAGATTCAGAGAGAGAGAGAAAGAGTATGTGCGTGTCTGTACGTACAGCAGGTCCTCACTTAACGTCGTTGAAAGATTCTTAGTTGCATCTGCAACTAAGTGAAACGACATATAACAATCATTTTCATCAATGTTATAATAAAACAATGTTGATGAAACAGTGTTATTCAAGGACCTGATCTACATCACTTCACTTAAATCCGCAGTTTCCAACAACCTGTCAGTGATGTTGAAGACTTACTGTACATAAATTTTTAAATTAATTGAAAAAAAAAACCCAACAGGAAAAACTGAACTAATAACTTTAATAAGGATTTTATTTAAAAAGCTTGAATGGCCAAAAAAATCTGAAAAGATGTTTAATCCCATTAGGAACTAGGGAAAATCCAGTTAAAACACAAGATACTATAACATACCCACCAGATTGGCAAAAATGTATAAACTTGACATTATCAAATGCGGAAGAGGATGTAAGGTAACTTGCACACTGTTACAGGAATGAAAAATGGCACAGCAACTTTGGAAAACAATTTGACGTTTCCTTATAAAGTTTTTACATGTGCATCTCTTTCCATCTAGGAGACACACTTTCACACGCACCCCAGAATAAGGTGCAAGAATGTTCACAGCAGTATTATGTCCATCAGTGGCAGGATGGATACAGAACTTGGTATTCCACAGTGTGAAGGTACCACAGCAGCAATGAAGAGCAGCCACTGCAGTTACACGCCATCAGCATGGACTCATCTCTCACCCCCCAACAGAAGAAAAGCACAAAAGAAGAAATGCAGTACAATTCCACATATGTGAAGTTCAAGGGCATGCAACGTGAAACTATGGGCAGGCACAGGAGGGAAGCAAATTGAGGATGATTATCATAAAAATCAGGTTAGTGATGAGGCAGCCACCTGGAGAAACACCCAGGGAGCCTCTTGGCCCTGAAAATATTCTCTTTCTTAACTTGGATGGCCACTTGCTCCAGGTTCACTTAATTATAATTCCTTTAAAAAGTGAATGCATGTTTTATTTCAGATTGTATAATTTTAGAAACACCTGGCTAAATTCCTGAGTAAAGAACTATACAAATCAGTAGAAGACCATCGACCCAATGGAAAAATGGCCAGACATATGAAAAGATGCCTTAGACATAGAGCATCTTTTCTCATTCATGTATTAAGAGAAATACTAAAATTATCCTGTAATGCCATTTTAAAAAATATCAGATCATTGAAGTACAAAAAGTTAGATAACATACTATCAACCAAAATGTAAAAACTGGCCAGTTGCGTGGTAAACTAGTGATCGGTGTTTGTCAGGAATAAATCATAATGAAAAACGAAACCTCTGAAATGAATACTGTCATTGTTGGGGTAAAACTTCACCCCCTGTAGTCACTTATGTTTAACTTGTCTGCTTGTTTTTTTAAAGTTAAGAAAACACAAACTGCATCATCCAAAAATACACCTGTGGTCCACGGATGCCACTGTAAGACACCTGAATTTTAGGCCTCCAGAGAGACGGTCTGGGTGGCCGGCCCCCGAGTGGAGAGGCATGCTTGCTTTTTCTTTCCACTTGTGAAGAGGAATGGATTCGGACATCTGCCCGCTGGGGAGAGAACGGCAAGCAGCAAGCTTAGCCACTCGGGCAGACTTCTCAGCCCTTACTCTAGGCGTGTGATCCTTCCTCCACGTGATATACTTCACAACTTTCTCACGTCTGGCTCAAGACATCCCAAGTGAAAAGGAAGGTGAGATGTGATTCTCACTTTATTATGATAAATAAATACTGTTTAAATAGTATAAATATTATTATAAATACTAAGCTAGAACCATCAGAATATATCACTTCTGTATCCAGTTTTCAAAGTATCTTCGGTGTTTGTCAGGAATAAATAAAAATAATCATTTTATTTCTATTAAATTATATCTGGCACTAGTGGCTAATAAGTACTTTTGTACTTATTAGTACAACCTTAAAAAGTCTTAAAAAGATTTCTTTTGGTTTCAGAAAATAACCTTTGTTACATTGTTCTTGTCTCTGCTTTTCTGACAGGGTCTCACTCTGTTGCCCAGGCTGGAGTGCAGTGGTGCAATCACAGCTCAGTGCAGCCTTGACCTCCCAGGATCAAGCGATCCTCTTATGTCAGCCTCCCAGGTAGCTGGGACCACAGATGCACACACCACCACACCCAACTAATTTTTTTAAGTTACTTTTGTAGAAACAGGGTCCCCCTGTGTTGCCCAGGCTGGTTTTAAACTCCTGGGCTCAAGTAACTCTCATGCCTCGGCCTCCCAAACTGCTGGGATTACAGGTATGCACCACTGTGCCTGGCCCCATTGTTGTATTGTTAATACCCAATAGTTTAAAGGTTAACAATGCTCCAAAGGAAAAGCTGTTTATTGCAACATGTCACCTTATATCAGAAGCCAAATGTCACAGGTCTATGAAGTCTAAGAGGATGATGGGGCATTGTCAAAATTAATACTTCAGCTTACTTAATGACAAAGTCAAGCATTCACAAACCCAGCTACATATTACAATTTCCCTATTGAGCTGCTCTCAAGTGACAAAATGAATGCTTATAGCAGGCAAGCCCAAAGTGCCTCCTCTACTCCTTCAGAACTCAGAGACCTTCTCTCTCACTACCAGTTCTCCTTCTCCTATTATTTTCTGTCAGAACACACTGTTTACTTCAAGAGCACTCATTCATTTGCTTACATGTTTAACACAGAATGTGCCAGAACAATCCTGAACAAGAACAAAGTTGAAAGTTTCATACCTCCCAATTTCAAAACTTAGTACAAAACTACAGTAATCAAAACAGTGTGGTACTGGCAGAAAGACAGACATATAGACAAATGGAATGGAATAGAAAGCCCAGAAATAAATCCTGGCATATACGGGCAAATGATTTTCAACAAGGATGCCAAGAGTACATTGGGTTTGGCTATTGAGGGTCCCTTGAGACAGGTCTCACACTGTCATGCAGGCTGGAGTGCAGTGGCGCAATCACAGCTCACTGCAATCTCCCAGGCTCAAGTGATCCTCTCACTTAGGCCTCCCAAGTAGTTGAGACCACAGGCATGCACCACCACGCCCAGCTAAGTTTTTAATTATTTGTAGAGACAAAGTCTCCCTGTGTTGCCCAGGCTAGTCTTGAACTCCTGCCCTCAAATGATCCTCCCACTTCAGCCTCTCCCAAAGACTACAGGCATGAGCTACTATGCCAGCCTTTCTTCAGTTCAAAGATGGATTTTTCCTTTTTTTTGAGACAGAGTCTCGCTCTGTCACCCAGGCTGAAGTGCAGTGGTGCAATCTCGGCTCACTGCAACCTCCGCCTCCCAGGTTCAAGTGATTCTTGTGCCTCAGCCTCCCAATTACAGGTGTGAGCCACTGTGACTGGCCGGATTTTTCTATTTCTGCAAACAACACTGTTGGAATTTTGACAGGAATTGCACCAAATCTGCTGATTGTTTTGGATAGTATTGACATTAACAAATATTAAGTCTTCCAATCAGAACTTAAAAAAAAACACTAAATTTTATCCAGCTTTCTTCTAAATCAGGAAAAGCAATCAACTCAAGTGAAAACTACAAATGAATGTACAAGCTATTAGCATCCGAAAATAAAGATTTCCATTTATTTATTTATTTAGAGATGGAGTCTTGCTGTAGCGTAGGCTGGAGTGCAGTGGTGCGTTCTTGGCTCACTGCAACCTCCACCTCCCAGGTTCAAGCAATTCTCCTGCCTCAGCCTCCCGAGTAGCTGGGATTACAGGTGTGCACCACCACACACGGCTAATTTTTTGTATATTTAGTAGAGACAGGGTTTTACCATGCTGGCCAGGCTAGTCTTGAACTCCTGACCTCAAATAACCCGCCCGCCTCAGTCTCCCAAAGTGCTGGGATTACAGGTGTGAGCCACCGTGCCCAGCCAAGACTTCCATTTAAGATCCAGTACTAAAACTACTTTTTAAAACGGATGATACTAACCTTTTAGCAGTTACAAAAACCATCATTTTAGTCGAGTCCTCAACAAGAGAGTCCTAATATTACCACACAGGAATGCCCAAACCATTGATTCCTCCTTACCGGCCAAGGCTAACTGAAGCCCACTAATGTCCACAGACTGGCCCATGTTTCCAACGTCCATCAGCGCAATCTGGCGAGGCGTCTTTTTGAAGAGTTCCCGTGGGGGTGCCAGCATCAGCTGGGAAAGAAAAAACTTTTCTGGTGGAGTTATAGGAGGTAAAAATCCTGCAAACAAAAATGTATAACAATTTCTCCAATGGTTACTTTTAAAAATCAACTTGAATCTGGTAACATCAGTACTTGCTACTTGCCACTTCAAGCCATATATTTTTAAGAACTAAATTATAATTACGTTTCAGTCAACCAAATATATACATTTATGAACTATGTAATTAAATATGTCATTTGAAATTCAATGATCTGTGGCCCTACCAATGAAACTTAAGGTTTTTGTACCTGTTAATTTTAAGAGTTAAAGGAAGATGAAAAAACACGAAACGCGGCTTAGCAGTGAAAGACAGGTTTTCTTTAGTTAAAACATCGGCCAGGAGTGCCTCTCAGGTTTTCACTGAAGAAAATCTGTCTTTGACTGCCATGCTGCATTTCGTGGTTTTCTCTTTTTTTTTGTTTTTCTTTTTTGTGATGAAGTCTCACTCTTATTCCCCAGGCTGGAGTGCAGTAGCATGATCTCGGCTCACTGCAACCTCCGGGTTCAAGTGATTCTCCTGCCTCAGCCTCCCAACTAGCTGGGATTACAGGCACCTGCCACCACGCCCAGCTAATTTTTGTCTTTTTAGTAGAGACACGGTTTCACCATGTTGGCCAGGCTGGTCTCGAACTCCTGACCTCAGGTGATCCACCTGCCTTGGCTTCCCAAAGTGCTGGGATTATAGGCGTGAGTCACCGCACCCCACCTGGTCTTTCTTTCCTCTTTACCTCTTACATTAATAACTTTTTTTTTTTTTTTGAGACGGAGTCTCGCTCTGTCACCCAGGCTGGAGTACAGTGGTGTGATCTCGGCTCACTGCAAGCCTCGCCTCCTGGGTTCACGCCCTTCTCCTGCCTCAGCCTCCCGAGTAGCTGGGACTGAAGGTGCCCGCCACCACACCCAGCTAATTTTTTGTATTTTTAAGTAGAGACACGGTTTCACCGTGTTAGTCAGGATGGTCTCAATTTGCTGACCTCGTGATCCGCCCGCCTCAGCTTCCCAAAGTGCTGGGATTACAGGTGTGAGCCACCGCGCCTGGCCCAATAACTTCATTTTCTAAAGTGCCTCAACTCCTGCAAAGGCTAAAGCTTATATATGTAAACAAAAACAGACAACACTACAGTGCTCAGACATGCTTTTCTTTCTTCTCTGTTTCCACTGTGTAAAGTGGAATAAATAGAAGAGCAACCAGTAGCAATCCAAATACACTACCTGATTCAACACACAATGCAGTTTACAAATTCCCACAAGGCTGAATGTTCCTTCCCTTTTGTCCCATGTTCGATTGCTCATCAAGCCTCATCTCTCCCACTGCAGCAATGTCAACAGGCTGCATTCCCTCAGCTCTAGTCCCCACTCCTCTCTTGCCTGGAGTACTCTTGCCCCCTCTACTGACTTCCCCAGCTCCCAGTTTTGACCCCTGCCCACTCACCACCCATAGTCCACACTTCCTCTTACCATTTAGTTATATCTCTAGAGTGCAGATCTGATCACATTACTTAACCTGTTTACACAGAATTAAACCCAGATTTTTATACCGTTACAAGACCCTTCATAATACGGTCCCAACGCACCTTCCTAATCTCACTTCTTGACTTTCTGTCCCATCCATGTACCCTACACCCCAGTTGCACAAAATCCCTCAACTTCTACACCCAGTTCCTTTTTTTGCTTTGAGGCAGTCTCACTCTGTTGCCCAGGCTGGAGTGCGGTGGTGCGATCTCAGCTCACTGCAGCCTCCGACTCCCAGGTTCAAGCAATTCTCCTGCCTCAGACTCCTCAGTAGCTGGGATTACAGGAGTGCACCATCATGCTGGGCTGATTTTTGTATTTCTGGTAGAGATGGGGTTTCATCATGTTGGCCAGGTTGGTTTTGAACTCCTGGCCTCAAGTGATCTGCCTGCCTCGGCCTCCCGAAGTGCTAGGATTGCAGGCATGAGCCACCGCACACGGCTTTACACCCAGTTCTTTAGTAATACCTGGCAGAGTCACTCCCGCCCTCGCACCCGCATCCCTAATCAATATCCAGCAAAAGTATCACTCCTTCCGAGAATCTCTCTGGCTCCATGGGTGGTCCTTCCTTCCTCTGTACTACCCAGCATTACACAATCGCAGTCCTGCCTCTGTTCAGAGTCATCTGAAGAGCATTCTGAAGACATACCCACTAAATGTCTTACCCTAAACAGAACACATCAGCAGCTCTGGGAGTGGGGTGTTGGCACTGATATTTTCTCTTCTATGTTACCTACACACCATCCCTACCTACTTTAATAATGGTAATAATAGTGGGTAACACAGGTACTTTTATTCTTTGTAACAACTCTACCAGCTGGCAATTGTTACTATTTGCATTTGACAGATGAGGAATCTGAGGCACAAAACGGTTAAATATAATCCATCCATGGATTCTTTCTCTGGCAACTGCCATCCTACCCATGGCAAATCTGTGTGTACAATGCAGTCTACGGACTAGGTGTGGGTTTAGATTCACTGTATATGAGAATGACATTAATAAGTCACAGTTCCTTTGCCTCACTTGTTCTTCAGAATTCAAAGGGCCCTCTGACCTAAATCCCATAGTGTCCCAATCCTCTCATACCAGCACCCCAGGGTGGTGGTGGTCTCTTTCTGTGTGTGTGTGTGTGTGTTTAGAAGCAGGGTCTCGCTGTCACCCTAACTCACTGCAGCCTCAAACCCCTAGGCTCAAGTGATCCTTCTGCCTCAAACTCCTGAGCAGCTGGGACTACAGATGTGAGCCACCCCATGCCCAACAATTTTTATTTTTTATTTTTTGTAGACAGGGTAAGTCTTACTATGTTGCCCAGCATGGTTTCAAACTCCTGGCCTCAAGCAATTCCCAACCCCCAACCTCCACCACTTCGGCCTCCAGAAGCGCTGGTATTATAGGCGTGAGCCACCTCGCCAGGCCTAGGTGGTGGGTTTTGACCACAAACCTGTGTTACATTCACTTTCTGGGCAGTCACAAGATTCTTAAAAGCAGGTTAAGTACCTGTACCCTAACGGCATCTCAGCCAATACAAAAGGTTGCCCTTCTTAGGTAAGGGCACTACAGGACACCAATCAGAGATCCTGACGGGGTGCCAGGCAGGAACGCTAACTAGAAATGCGGCCCTCCTGTACCATAAAAACAAACTCCTGGTGTCACCTCAAAATCTGCTGCCTTAGCCTTGACTCACTGTATGGCAGGCCCTACCTATGCTGGTTAAGGAATGTAAGATCAAGCTGTTACCTATCTCTAGCTATGTGCTTCCTCCACTACACTGGTCCCTAAATCCTTCAGGTCCCTTGTCACCACGCCATTTTTGTTTTCTGACTGCAAGTCTTCTCCCAAAGCAAATCCACATAAAGCATCCCGTTTGAGCTTAAAAACAAAAAAATGTAACCTCGCATCCAACCTACTAGTTTGATCTCACCAATGCCACACAATGGTAAATATATTTTACATAATTTATACCATGAATGCACTTTACATAATGTTCAGTAAGTCATGCGTTTCCAATCGCGAGATCATCAATTTGAGACTTTCTATCCTCTGCCCCCATCCCTAACAGGCTAAGGCAGGTGGCTGCAAAGTCTTTAATGGTGTTTCACGTGTATTTCCGCCCACAACTTCTTCAGCTTCTTAGTACTGACTTCTACGTACTCCTTTGAGACTAAAAACCGGGGACAGATCTAGTCTTATCGTTGGTTTTAACTTCACACACCACAGACGGGCTTTCGAAGAACGAACCGTATTTGAGACACTAAACATGTCAAGACCTACACTGAGCTCTATGATGTGATGGGGTGTATAGAGAAATTATTTGCGGTGTCACGAACTTGCAATTAAGCTACCACCTCTCCATTCTTTAGAGTTAAGGCGGGGAGGGAGTGAGGGGCGTGGGAACGCAGAGGGAGGCGGAAAAAGAGGATTATCAGTTCACACGGATAGTTAATTTCCCTTTCAGGTGAGCTCCCAACAGCGCGGGTGGAAAGCTGCGGAATCTAACGCTATCCACACGGCACAGCTGGCTTCAGCAGGTACCTGAGAGCGGAGGGCGGTCGGGCTCCTGACCGCCGCGGGCGGGCGGGGCTTTTCCTTTTTTTTGAGACAGAGTCTCGCTCTGTCACCCAGGCTGAAGTGCAGTGGTGCAATCTCGGCTCACTGCAACCTCCGCCTCCCAGGTTC